AGAGAGAGAGAGAGAGAGGGAAAGTGAGAAAGCAAGCTACCAGGTCTGGGACTTGAACTATGGTCAGCTGTGTGGGAGTGTCCATACCTTAGCCACCATGCCACCTGCTGGTCTCAATTATAATTTTTTAAAAAGACTTACGTATTTAATTAATTAATGTATTTTAGTTTGACGAGAGTGAGAGAGAGAAAGTGAGAAAGCAAGCTACCTGGTCTAGGACTCAAACTGTGGTCAGTCATGTGGGAGTGTCCAGCACCTTAACCACCACACCACCTGCTGGTCCCCATCATTATTATTATTATTATTTTATTAAAATTTTTTTTTGTTGCCAGAAAGTGTTGGTGCTTACTGCAGAGAGACAGAGAGAAAGCACCCACCCCCTATCAAGGGGTGCGGTCATGCTGCGATCCCTTTTCTATCCCTCCATCTTGTTGGATTTGGGCACATCCATCCATCCAGTGTGTTTTTCTTTCTTTTTTTTTTTTTTTAAAGAATTATTTTTATTTAATTATTATTTAATTTGACTGAGAGAGAGAAAGAGAGAGAAAGCAAACTGCTGGGTCTGGAACTTGAACAGCAGCCAGCCATGTGGGAGTCCAGTGCCTTAACCACCATGCCACCTGTTTTTCCAAGGCTCTGGGTACAGTATTCAAACTGCAATCAGCCATATGGGATCTGACCTCCTTAACCACTAGATTTCAGACCTCATAAATTAAGATATTCCTGTATCAGGAATCAGGCCTTTTTCTGGGAACACATAGATCCTTCAGGAGCAGAATAAGATGTTTTTCAGTTCTGTGCTAACTACTAAGGAGAGGCATTCCTTATTAACTAGTTTTTAAAGTCTGTCCCAGAGTTGTTAGAGGAGCAAATTTACGAAGAAATTATGTTATTTTAATGATAGCCTTAGTGACTTTATAAAGGCCCATTTTTATAATGGAGATGGATCAGAAATTGTGAAATATTTTATAATCTTTAATTATTTTTTAATATAAAGAGAATCTGTAAAAAGATTGGTTTTCTTTTGCCATGTAGTTTGATTATATTAATTTCTGAAATAATTTCTATTTAGTAGCATCAGATCGGTTTTTTGTTTTCTCTTAAATCTCTTCTGCACTGCTCAGGTTGTGCCCTTTGTCACATTTTCACAATATTTTTCCGTGTACTTTACCTAAAACAGAGGGTAGAGTGTCATTCTTCTGACTGTTATCTATATCAAAACCCAGTAACAAAAGAGCCTTTCAAAAACAGAACAAAAGGTTATCTAAAGCCTTTTGGGGTTGATAACTGTTCCTTTTCCTTTACCTGAAATATCATTTTAATTTTTAGGACACCTTAAGTAAAATGTATCCTTTTTTTTTTCAGTTTTAATAATTAATGATATCCCTGCATTTTAAAGAGAGAGGGGTATCAATCAATGTGTATTCTGTTTTTTTCCCAAAAGATTAAAACTTTACTAATGCTGGGGCCAGCATTAGAGGTCATGGTGGTTAAAGGCACTGGTCTCTCACATGACTGACCACGGTTTGAGTCCTGGACCTGGTGGCTTGCTTTCCCACATTCTCTCTCTCATTCTGTCCCTTTCTGGTCAAATTAAAAATAAATAGATAAATGGATAAAGTTAAATAATTCTTTAAAAAAAACTATACTAATGCCTTTTAGCTGTCTTAAAATGCTTCTATGAATTTCTGTAACTGTGTCTGTAATACAAAGAATATGCTCATTGTTTTCATTCAGACATTGAAAATTTCATTTGTATTGTGAATATAATAAAGTTCATTATAAACATTTAGAGGTAGATATAAAAATGTTAGGATATCCATACATTGAAAATTTGATCACCCTTTTGAATTATTTTCAGAGTGTAGCTTTGTGGATATTAGTAGATAAAATTGCATATTTCTGAAAGATTTGATTAGATTTTTCTAATTATGATAATTTTCTAACTGAAGTAGTTATTAAATTATTATTCCTTTTTAACAATTTTGCCACAGGGCACATGTGCTGGCCAGAGAGGGAGAGGAAGAGGGAGAAAGCACTTCCCATGGGTCATAGCCATGGTCATGCCACTGTCCCTTCTCTATTTGCTAGTCCTTGCAGAATTTGGGGCATGTAAGCACACATGCCTGGCATATTTCCCTTTCTTTTCTTTTTTTTTTTTTTTAATACTTTTTTATTTTATTTATTATTATTATTTTTTGACAAGAGACAGAGAGAGGAAGGGAAAGTGAGAAAGTAAGCTGCGACTTGAACCCAGGACACCCATGTGGGAGTGTAGCACCTTAATTACCATGCCACCTGCAGCCCTTCCTTTGCATGTTTTTAAAAGGCTGGGTCTGGGGGACCAGCAGTTGGTATAATGGCTATGTCGCTGGACTCTCATGTAGTCAGCCACGGTTTGAGGCCCAGACCTGGTGGCTTAAACTCACGCTGGGCACGTGTACGTGCGTGCCCAAGATCCTGAGAGGAGAATGGAAAAGAAGAGATTGTAGCGCGGCCATCCCCCCGGGAGGGGGGGGTGATTTCTGGCTTTCTGGGATTTGTTGAGTCATGTGAGATCATTTACACAAAAACACAGTGAGGCAGTGGAAATTAAAAAAAAAAAAAAAGGAGAAGAAGAAAAAAGTCTGGGTCTTGGAATCTTAGAACGTGGTTGGCCATATGTAATATGGCTCCGTTAACGACCAGGCCATAGGCCGGCCTAAATTGTGTTTTTAAATATCACTTGCAAAGCACTGTACTACTATTGTTGTATAAAATTACTTTTTTTTGAGAGATTTTTGTTAAAGGACGCATGTGTTTACTGGGGATACAGAGAGACAGAAAGTGAAAAGTCACTCCCCAGGGGAGATGGCCACACCACAGTCCCTTTCCCTCCATTCCCCTCTTGAGATTTTGGGCATGGACACATATGTGCCTGGTGTTTCAAGCTGCCGGATCCAGGACTCAAACTGTGGTTGGCCACGTGAGAGTCCAAGATTTTAACCACCACACCACCTACTGGTCCCTGAAATTACTTTCTTTTCTTTTTTTAAGAGATTTTGCTATAATGTGTATGTGCTTGCTAGAGAGACAGAGATAGAAAATGAGAAATCACCCCCTGGGGCAATGGCTGTGCTACAGTGTCTTCCTCCATTCTCCTCCATTCTCCTCCAGGGGTCTTGGGCATGCATGCACCTGTGCCCGGTGTGAATTTTAATTTGCCAGGTCCTGTACTTGAACCATAGTCGATTATGTGAGAGACCAGCATGTAACCATTTTGCCATCTGTTGGTCCCAGGATAATGAGGAATTCTAAGAAGTTTAGACCAGGGTCTCATAAAAGGTAGAAACTGAAAGTCACCAGGGCTGAGGGTCTAGTCTATGCCTCTATCAAGCGACGGTGTTGGCATTTTCTGAGCACTGTGGGCTGACTTGGACTTGAAAGTTTGATTCATGACAGCATCTGTTGGAGGCTGAGGGAAAAAACAAAATGCCAATTTCTTTTTCTAAAAAAAATTTATTTATTTGTTATGATTTGTTTTCCAAGCCGCCTGGCCCTGGACGTGAACTGTGGTCAGCCATGTGGGAATCCATCCTTAACTACCATGCCACCTGCTGGCCTCAGAATGTCAATTTTGTAACTTATATTGGGTGATAGCTTTTTCTAGTGAACAGTGTTGATATCTGTGACACTCCTCAAAATGTCAGAAGCACCGACTGAATTAGTGATTACCAATATATTCTCTGTTGAATAGACTCTAGGGGGGTTGATAGCTTTAAAAGCTAGTGTTCAGGGCCAGCAGGTAGCATGGTGGTTGGGGTACTGGACTCCCATATGGCTGACAGTGGTTCAAATCCCAGATCGGGAGGCTTAAAACTCAACACTGGGCATGTGTGCGTGCATGCCTAAAATCCCAGCAAGAGAATGGAGGAAAAGGGACTGTAGCATGACCAAACGCCCCCCATGCCCCCGTGAGTGATTTCTTACTTTCTGTCTCTTTGTTTCTTTCTGTCTCTCTGGTGAGTGCACATACCCTATGGCAAAAAAAAGAAAAAAACAATCTTAAGAAAAATGCTAATGTTCATCTTAGACCTTCTGTCCCTATTTCCCTTTTTGATTCATAATTTTAGTTATATCATGTTGATTGATTCAGATATGTTATTTAAAAAAGAAAAACACAGTACTGACATCATATTAAGTATACTTTGCAGCAATGAGCTTTTATTCTATAAAGACAAATTATAGGGTTTTTTTTTTTTAAGAATTATTTTATTTAGGGACCAGCAGTTGGCATAATGTCTATGTCGCTGGCCTCCCACCTAGTCACCCG